CCATTCCCTCACGGTTTTGTTTTTGGGAACTCACGAGCAACTTCCCAGTGGGTCACCCATTATGGGATTGCTCCAGCCCCCTTCTCGCTTAACTTCGGAGTTCCTACGGAACCCGAAGCCAGTGAGCTCCCAAAAGGCCCATGAATAATGTGACTTTTATATCTCGTCACAACCCTACTAGGATAATTGGCTGGCCAATGCAAGTCTTCAAATATCAAGATGTCATTAGCATGACATCTTGAATTAATCTGTAATAAGTAAAAGGATAAAAGTTGACATAACAAATATAAACACGTCATAATTAAAATGTAAAAAAAAAAAAAAAAAGAAGTAATAATGTGACCGTTATATTAACTCACATGTTGCTTGAACCATTCTGGAAATTCCTTCTTGCTTAGCTCCTTGATTTGTTGCACAGTCAGCCTTGCTTGACGATGTTGATTTTTCAAGAATTCGTTGCCTAGCCAATCAGGTCCAAATATGCTTAACTAATTTTCAAAGTAAAGAAAATTGATAAAACATTAAGACGTATGACTAGATGTTCTTACCTTCTAAATGGGTTGACCTCATCACAATTATTTAGAATGTATCTATGGCACTGATCAAGAACATTTAACTCGAGTTCCACATTTTCTCCTGAACCTATATAACATCTTTTAGAGTAAAAAATTGATAACCCACCAGATACTCCACGTCCAATACTATCTTCATTTCAACCTCTACGAGTGCGACGAGACTCGACATCTCTAAGATACATGGAACAAAAGGACAAGCATTCATCCACCAAATATGCTTCAGTAATAGAACCTTCAGGATGACCTTTATTACAAACATAACGCTTCAGTGTTTGCAAATACCTATAATTATAATACAAAACACAAATTATTATAATTACTAATAAAAATTATCATTATAAATTAACAAATTTTATAAAGATTTGTGAATTACCGTTCAATTGGATACATCTATCTATATTGAACAGGCCCTGCAATAGCTGCTTCATCTGCCAAGTGAACTGGGAGGTGCATCATTACATCAAAAAATGCAGGCGGGAATATCTTCTCCAATTGACATAGTGTCAAGGCAATTCTTGAATTCAGTTGCTTGAAACCTTCCTCGGACTCTTTGCTACACAATTGTCTGAAAATTGCACTTAAACTCTAATAATATCATAGTAACAGATTTAGGCAAAACCACACGTATTGCAAGTGGGAGTAACTGCTGCATTAAAACATGGCAATCATGGCTTTTTAATCCATGTATTTTTCGTTCATTCACATGCACACATCGCGACAAATTTCATGAATATCCATCGGGAACCCGAATAGTAGACAACACTTCACAAAATGCAGTTTTTTCTTCTTTTTTCAATGTGAACAATGTTGGAGGTCAAAATGTTCTATTTCCTTCCCTACGTGGATGTTGTCTATGTCTTATGTTCAAGATTTCAAGATCTGCACGTGCAACCAATCTATTCTTAGACTTTTTCATCTATATCTAACAATGTTCCCATTATATTGTCACATATATATTTTTTCAATATGCATAATATCAAGATTGTGTCTAATCAACAGATGCCTCCAATAAGGTAGTTCATAAAAAATAGATTTCTTCTTCCACTGGCTCTTACTACTTATATTGCTCTCAGTTCGTTTTTTGTGTTGCCCAACCGAAGCATCTTTCTTTGGTTTTCCAAAAGTAAATCTCAAAGTACAAAGTTTATCAAGACATTGTAAACTAGTCCATTACCTTGGTGCACTACAATGCTCCCGCCAACCATTAAAAGATGTGGTTTGCCTTCGAAACTTATGATCAACAGGAAGAAAGCATCGATGCCCCAAATAGCAAATCTTACTACTCGTCGGCAAGTAAATAGATTCTTTATCATGCATGCAATGTGGACATGCTTTATATCCATGTGTACTCTATCCTGATAACATTCCATAAGCTGGAAAATCACTTATAGTCCATAAGACGGCGGCCTTCATCGCAAAATTTTGGTTGAAATACGCATCATAAGTAGGATTGCCCACCTCCCATAACTCATTCAACTCATCAATCAATAGACACATGTATACATCAATCTCTTTACCGGGACTGCTCGATCCTGGTATTAACAAAGACAATAACAAATTGGGTTGCTTCATACACATCCAGGACGGTAAATTGTAAACTGAAAGCACCACAAGCCATGTGCTAGGATCTTACCTCATTTTTCTGAAATGATTAAATCCATCACTGCCCAACCCTAATCAAATATTTTGCATTTTTGATCCAAACTCCGGATATAAATTATCCAAATGCTTCCATGCTGGAGAATCTAAAAGATGTCTCATAAACCCATCCTTAGGACATTCAGTTGCGTGCCACCTTATATGTTAAGCCGTATGCTTCGACATATACAACCGCTGCAATCGTGGTTTTAAAAGAAAATACCACATAACCTTAGCTGCGATTTTTTTTTTTCTAGAGCCATCATCTTCGTTGACATTTTTATATCTTGATTTACCACAAACTGAGCATGCGGTCAACTCTGCAGTGTCTTTCCAATAGATCATGCAATTATTGGGACAAGCATCAATCTTCACATATATCAGACCCAAGTCATTTATATGTTTTTTTGCCTTATAACAAGATTCAGGCAAACAATCTCTGTCAGGCAACATTTTTTTAATTAACTCGAGTAACGTGGTGAAGATCTGATACAATCTTACAACCGCCTATTTTTTAAATTCATTACAACTTGGCCACAAATCTTGATCTGTCTCTTTAAGCAACTTAAAAAAAAAGTCTCGACCTCTTCCGGACGCCCTTCCCCAGATAGAGATTCAGTAGACGGCCCAATACCTTCTTCCGTTAATGGTTGGACAAATACATCATTAAGAACATCATGAATACCAATCAACCGATCTCCTGTTTCAGTAGACAGCCCAACACGTTCTTCTCCAATCCTCGTATTTTGCTCTCCAATGAAAGGTTCCCCATGATGTCACCACAAAGCATTTTTGTAATCTTTATCCATATCATACAACACAAGATGTTCGACAATAGTTTTTCTAACAAAAGTATATCGATTACAATATCTTTTGCAAGGACATCTAAACTTATCGGGGCCAGCACCATTCGCAACTGCTTGATCCAAAAACAAATTAATTCCATCTGTATATGCTTCCAAATTTTGCGATATTGTCAACCAACTCTTTTCCATGTTTTACCACTGTACGATAGCAAATATTACTTTGAAACTAAGGTGCCTACAATCTTTCAATCCCTATCATGTAGGCATAACTATTAGAAATTTCAATCCCTATCTTTCAACCTTAGATTACCACAATTGCAATTTAATTTTCAACACCTATCACAGTAAAACAAATTAAAAAAACAATCAAAGGTTAACAAAAATATGTTTATCTACACTCTTGATTATTTATTAAATTTAAGTTTTGTATATCCTCATAGCAATTGGAGTGAAATATTTAATTAATTAACATAATATATACCTATATTACTAAATATTACCAATTTATGGTATATTAAATATTATCAATTTAACATAAATATTTACAAATAATATTTATCTCAATTTCTTCATAACAATTTAAGTAAATAAAATAAACTAATGGAACACAAATAATCCTAATTTATCATACTAATTAAATTAAAATCTCTAAATAAATAATCTTGTGTGTTAAACAAACAATTTAAACATCAAGAAGTTCAGCAATAAAACCTGAACTATTGAAGAATTCTGTCGTCGATCTACTCTTTACGTGGTCAGCCAACCAAATAAAGCCCCTGCAAAATCAAATCAGAAAAAGATGAAATGCTTGATGAAGAGAGAAATAGAAGATAAAAAGTATGGAAGCAAAAGAAATGAAAAACTTACTGGGAGATGAAGAGAACAAAAAATTGAAGATGAAGAGAAGAAAATGATTGAAGATTGAAGATGAAGAAGAGAAAGAAATATGAGATTGAAGATGAAGAAGAGAAAGAAATTTGAATGAACAACAAACAGAAAAACTTTTGGCGTAAAAATAATAAAATAGTCGATTTCTGTCAGTTATAACCTCTAGAATACTAAAATAATAACCGCCAGAATACTAAAATAATAAAATGGTCAATTTCTGTCGGTTATAACTGCCACTATTAACTTAAAAACTGCCAAAATATATAAAAAAAAATATTAAAAAAAAACACAAATACTAGCGGTTTAAAAAATTTGTGGCGGTTTAAACCGACGCTAATTATCCGTCAGTAAGTACTGGCGGATATAACCGACAGTAATTACGTTTTATCCGACACTAATTAAAAAATATGTCGGATTACTTTTATCTAACATAATGGCTTATTAACTGTCACCATCATCCGACACTTAAAGCTAATTTTGTAGTAGTGGGCCACAAGAATATGAACAATCAAGAACTTGTACCTGAGCACATGACATGAACTGTGTGGAAGAATACCAATTTATATAATGATCCCACAAGCTCTAAATTGTTAACTTTTTACAGTAGTAGAAACATGATTATCTTTGGAAGAGAGTGACTTGTAATTACCCTAAATGTTAGTATTAGCCCGTGTTTCGCTTACCTGCTTTGACATGACTAGTCTGACTAAATTGGATGGGAGTTTTAGCGTGTTTGGTGGGTCTAGATGAATTTCCTATGGGGATACGTATAGGCTCAGAAGTGCATCACAGTAAACGTGACTTAAAATCAAATCGTACCCTTGCTAGCCACGTTAAATACTCAAAAGTGATCCGGTCCAGTAGTTCCATCTACGTTTTCTGGTCGAACAAAGTTAGTATGTTGACTTGTATATAAGGCCTCTTTCCAGTTTTTACAGGTCCAATATACTTGTAATGCAATACAAGTTAGCCTCTAGGCCTCTGGCCTGGCCTCATGTACCCAATCAAAGCGTCATTTTCGCATGGCCCATGCAATCAATCAATCTCCTTTAGAACTAAACAAGTTGATGAAAGATGTGGTCTAAATTTCACTAATTACTTATCAGGTAAGTATGCAAACCAATTACGCCATCCCTCTTAAGGTCTGAAGTTTCCTACAATCATCAAACACATTTGCCCATCCATGTTCTAAGAAATAGGAAGTGCTTAATTAGCTGGCTAGAGAGACTCATATGGAGGAGCTGAGTGAAAATTGCTTCCATGAAGCCACCTACCTAGACCAAGAAGGTCAATTAAGAACTTCCAGAGTGCCCGTGGTTCAAGAACTCGCTCGGCGAGGATTCAAACATTTGCCTGAGAGATTCATAAGGGTGCACCTTGAACACGATTATGATGTTGTTGACTTATCTTTGCTTAATAATGTCTCAGAAGTCCTACCATCCATAAGCATGGCTAAATTACGAGCCCGGTCTGAGTCCACAGACTGGACCCGAGAGCTGGCCGAGCTAGCAAGTGGTGCTAATACTTGGGGTATGCTCATAATCAAGGACCATGGTGTGCCAGGGCATGTTTTAGATGGTGTGAAGGATGTGGTCAAGGAGTTCTTTGGGTTGTCGTTTGAAGAGAAGAAAGCAAGCGTTGGGTCGTATGTGAGTGTGGATAACATGGGCTACGGCCGGAACTTTGTGAAGTCGGAAGATCAACCGTTGGATTGGATTGACCGTGTGACTGTGAAAGCAGCTCCTGTCGGAGCAACCCAAGGGCTCCATGTTTGGCCTCAAAGGCCTGCCGATTTCAGGTGCCGCATTTCACCAAATAAAACATAAGCGTGCATCGATCATACTTTCGGTACCTTTATTTTCTGACACATATGATAATCTTTTTAATTACGAAATAGTTATTAAACAGTTACTTAGTAATAATGAATTTAGCTGTAGTGATTTAAGTATTTAGAATAAATTAAAAAAATTCCAACATTGATAATGAATTTAGCCAACTGATTCAAACATTTAGTGATTTAGAATAAATCAAATTCTTGATCAGCTCATGGAACGCTGTAATTGTTAGAATAATTTCATAATATAAAGTGGGAAATATTGCAATGGGTGATAAGGGGCTTGTTTATATATGTGTGTGTGTGCACGCCTTGAAGCAACTTATCTTTAATCCATCGCCCTAACCATTAGCCACAAAAATTTTAAACACTAATCAACATTTTTGTTAAACAGGCATGCTATAGAGCAATACGTTCATGAAGCAAGAACCATCTTGAATGACTTACTGGAAGGCCTTGCCGAAGCCTTATCACTAGAAAAACATGTATTCCTCCAAAATTTTGACCCCAAAGACAGTGAGATCAATGTGAGAGTCAACTACTACCCACCATGTCCTAGACCAGACCATGCCCTCGGTCTAACTCCGCATTCGGATGCCAGTGCCCTTACTCTCCTTATGCAATTCGACACCGCTGGAGGTCTCCAGGTCTTGAAGGACAAGAAATGGGTGAATGTGCCTTGGCCACCAGAGGCATTGCTAGTGAATATGGGAGACTTGCTAGAGATTATGAGCAATGGAAAGTTAAAAAGCCCATGGCATAGGGTTGTGACCCAAATGGATGTTGAGCGCTTCTCAGTGGCTTTGTTCTATAATCCATCTCCCCGAACTTTGATTGATCCTATAAGGGATCGTAATTCCTTGAAAGATGAGGGGTATGAGAAGGTGGTTGTGGGTGATTATTTGCAACACTTTTATAGAGTTAGTCCTACTGCGGAGAAACAAGCCATCAACTTTTCCAAAAGACCCAGAACGTAATGAGGTGTGTGGGATTTTACATGCTTTGTTAATGTTGTTATTTTTGTTAACCAATATATTAGTTTGGAATGTGATCCTTGGCACCTAGCTCGGATTTGATTTGTTATCATGTGCGAATCTAACTAGCACAGGATTCATGCGTATTGCTTTTAATTATTGTATGTGCGGCTTGGTTATTATTTGTGTGATTTATAGAGGCAACCAGGCCAGAAGCAAATGAAAAAACAAAAAAACATGTGGGGTAGCAAAAATTCGTCGTTTTCAATCTTGACAAATTTATACCTACAAAAGATTCAACACTTTTCATCGAGACCAAGGTCACACGTGCCCCATGAGGTTTGTTTTTTTTTTTTTTTTTTTTTTTGGTGTGTGGGGGGGGGGGGGCGCAATGGATCTCCGATACCTAAGTCAGTATCTTTGAAAAGAGTAAGTGCTTCGAGTTTGTATGTGTAGCATAAAACTTACCAAAATTTGATGCAGATGAAGGCATTTATAGGGAGGAGTGGCCGGTCATAGGGTTAGGGTTATGGCATACACATAGCGGCATCCGATTGGCCATGTGTCATTCATTGAATGAATGAGGAAATAATATTCCCAAGATATTAATTAGGAGATAATATCTTGGGATGATGATGGAAACATCCATGATTGATTGTGAAAGGGATTCCTTATTTGATGGAGTTGATCTTTAATTGTAAATGTATTAAAGATATAAATCGGTGATTTTTTTTTTTTTTGTCAAGATAGGATTTGGTGATTAATCCTAACTTTAATGTCTTTTAACTTTTCAATGCCACAAGAATGGGAGGTGAGAGCAGTTGTAGTCAACTTCTTGAACCTCCAAGTATGTTGAGTTGTGCATGGGAATAATTGTGTCCTGCTGCCCATTTAATAAGGGCAATTTTATATTCTTCGGCATAAAGTCCATGCGTCATGTTCTGCATTTTTAGAATTATTTTTTGCTCCACAATATTCATCGCAGTGGAGATCAAGAAAGTGGCTAGTTAGAAGATTGTGGAGGTGAAGTTTTAGATAGTAGTACAATTTTCTTGCTCTTGGTTGTCAAATGAGAAATTAACATATTTTTAAAGTTTATTTGTTAAATCTTGGAAATTAATCTTCAGAGAATATGTTAATTTCTTTATTTTACTTGTCATTCAAATTCAACCAAGACTAAGATTATTATGCTACTTTCTAAAGCTCCACCTCCTCAATGATCTAAACTTTTCTTTTTTGCTTTTGGTTTAGCCTGCTTTTGCATCTGTACAACGAACTTCCTTCAGTATTTAGGCTTTGGCATTTTGCGTGGCAACCATTTCAACCAGATGCATTTAAATTCTAAAATCATGCAAATGACTTGAGGTTGCCTTTTAATATGTCATATTAATTGTGCATTCTAACAAGGCGACCCATAGCCGACATCAGATTCTTTCTTTGCTGGGAATTGCTCAGGGTGAGCTCCCATCAGTTACAAAGGTGGTCCTCTGTTTCGAGGTGAGCCTTGTAAACAAAATTTCCAAGCTTTGGTGGATAGGATCCGAGCTCGTATGTTATGGCAAGGACACCTTCTCTCTATGGTTGGTCGTATTACTTCACTCAAATCGGTAGTGGTAAGCATGTTATCTCCAAGCTTTTTAGTTTATGCTTGGCCTTCTTCTGTCCTGACTTAAGTTCGGAATTGGGCTCGTAATATGTGAAAATATGACTTTAGCCATTCAAACTTAATTTTCTTCATATAAAACCCTACATAACTTTTTTACTCAAAGAAAACCCAATGACTAGGATCCACATAAGCAAATTCATTAACTTCATATTAATTCACACATTTTACATTTTTCACATGCCTAAAATACCCCTATTACATACTTGATGTAGACAATTAATTGTAAGGAAATAGTAAATGATTTTGCAACAAGAAAAAAAAAAAGACATTAATGTTAAAAATTTATTGCATATTAATTTTTTAGAAAGGTTTTGAATTTTCATAAAACTATTCGATTTAGTTTTTTCACCCTACTCTTGAATACTTTTGAATTTATCCCTTTTTATTAATATATTAGAACATTGTATTTCATTATCTACATGCACATTAATTTACCTACAACAATTATACCATGGGTGTAATATAATATCTCTTTTTTACAATGATGCAAAATAATATACCAACAACAAAACGTGCCTAACATATGTACTAATTACATGGAAAATAATTTACCTATATTAAGAAGGAATGTAGTTCGATGCATAGTATTAAAAATATTATGTTACACCCATGTTTATAAAACAATAAAACGTGCCTAACATATCTAACAATACATGGAAAATAATTTACCTACAAGTTAGAGAAATGTTATTTGGTTGGGTGTAGCATAAATTTTTTTAATAATTGGAAAAATTAAATATAACTAGGTGTCGTGTAATTTTTTTTTATATAATTAGAACAAATTAATTTACCTACCTACTATTTGAAATGTTCATTTCCAATGATGCAAAATGTTCATTACCTAACTACAAATTAATTTCCAATACTTTACCTACACCAATTACACCATGGGTGTAGGTACCAACAACTAAACTTGCCTAACATAAGTACTTGTACATGGAAAATAATTTACCTATAACAAAAGAAATGCAGTTTGATGTATAAAATCAACAATATTATGTTCCACTCATGTTTATACAACAACAAAACGTGTCTAACATATATAACAATACATAGAAAATAATTTACCTACAAGTTAGAGGAATGTTATTTGATTCAAAATATATAATATAGGTGTAGTATTTTTTTTTTTAAATAATTGGAACAAACTAATTTACCTACCAATTAACATGGATAAAATTGCTACAAAATATATCACGAAAAAAAAAAAACTAATTTTCTAGTTTAACATAGATACGGTTAATGCAAACACTTTTTTCATTTTATTTCACTTTTTCTACTACTTTTAATTTGGCATAAATTTAGGAATTTGAAAAAGGGACCATAAACTATGAGTGGCATGAGTGTAAATAAATTGCATTAATAGGTCAATAGTGTTACTATATGTTTGCAAATTTTAAATTAGGGCTTAAACTGAATCTTTAAAGATAGATGGGTTTTTATCTAGAAATAATGAATTGTAAGGGCCAAAATCTAAAGCACCCCTAATTTTATTTGGTCAAGTTGTGTGCTGATACAAGTGGTTTTTTCACTGTTGCTTGAGAAAAGTAGTGTTGTGCGTATAATGAGGGTGGTTTAGGTATTCGCAACTTTGCAGCTCTTAATCTAGCTTTTCAAATGAATTTTTTTTGGGACATTCGAGTGATTTCTAGTATGGCTTATTGTTTTTTTGGGAGGAGATTTTTCAATAATTTGGGTCATCCTTGTTCGTCTTACAAGTGTTCTTCGGTATGGCCTGGGCTACGTCCCTTATATTCGGCTATCTCTGATGGGTAAAAATGGATTATTGGTTTGGGTGGTCAGGTGAAATTTGGCATTCAAAGTGGTTGGATGTGCTGGTTTCTGATCAGTTGGGACTTCCTCTGCCTATTTCTAATCGTTTGCATGCTTTGGTCTCGGATTTTATTTTGGATGGCAGCACTGATGGGAATCTTTCAGTTAAGCTTGCTTGTGATTTTTAGCGTAGTCGTCAACCTCATGTTCTTTAGGATCGATGGGTTTGGCATCCATGCTTTCGCTCACGTAATTGAGTAATTTTATGGAAATTTTTGCTTGGTAAAATTTTGACTGATGATATGCTTCAAGGTAGAGAGGTTTTATGTTGGCTTCTATGTGATCCCTTTATGGTGGATCATCTCTTTCTTTAGTGTGCTTTTGCAAGACAATTTTGGTCGGCTTGTTTAACATGGTTTCAAGTTTGTTCTTGGTATCATGATATCCATGGGTTTTTCACTTATCCACTACATCAGGGTCCGGGTACTCAGTTGCAAATGTTTTGGTGAGGATTAATTGGTGCGGGTTTTTATTTACTATGGCAGACTCAGAATAATTTGCGTTTTCGAGATGGGCTATGTTTTGTTGCTTCTTTAATTAGGGCGATCAAACTCAACTTGTTGAGATTCATTCTTTTAAACTAGGCTCGATGAAATTCAGTTTCTGAGTTATTTTATGAGCCATTGGAGTTTTTGGGCATCAAAATCCTACAAATTTGGTTAAAGTAAACATGGATGGTGCAGCTGGAGGTTCCCCATGTTTGGCTGGCTTGATGGGATTTTCCGTGATCGTAATGGACTTGTGCTCTTGTGCTGGGTTGTTTTGCGGGCTCCCTGGGTCTGACTTCTTCTCTGGAGGCTGAGCTTTATGCTGTGATTCATGCAGTTTCTTTGGCGATTAAAAATGGTTCGCAAGCATTGTCGATTGAATGTGATTCATCTCTAGTAGTCCATTTTCTTTCTTCCTCTATGGTGCAGGTGCCTTGGGCCCCACGTTTACATTGGCATAACTGTCAGGGTTTTCTCCCGAACAATACTTGGCTACTCAAAAGGATAATCGGAATCATTCATAATATAAATCATCCTACGCAGATCTGCTCTGCAAAAAATAAATTAAAAGTAAAGTTGTTTAGTCATCGAATTGTATAAAAACAAATGAACGAAATTGATAAAAGCATTACGAACTGTCTATATATTTGCTAGAATAGATTGACTAAACGACCTTAGTTTTAATTCATTTTTTCCAAAGATGATCTTTACAGTGTGATTGATAATATAAACGGTTTTGATTATATGCACAAAGATTTATGATTCAAATTCTAAAAATTTTGAGTAGGAATTTTTATTTATCTTTGAGCATCCAATTATAATATTCTTTTCTTCCATGACAATTTTGAGTTTCCCATATTTTTTTAGAGGGTAATCAGGTTCAGGCGGCGAATTCTATGGCTAATTGTGGTGTCGACTGCCAGGTACTTATTGGTGGGATTGTTGTCCTGCTTGTGCTGTTATGCTTATTTGCGTAGCCTTTTTCAGCTTCCGACTTATCGGATTTGTTAGTACTTTTTCATGTTATCTACGGTTAAAATTTTCTTGGTTCATGTTTATAGGGGACGCCGCTATCGGGGGCTTGGCACCTTCCAATTGCTTTGAGCGGGGAGGGGTAGGTTACATTAACGGCCGCAATTCGGATCCCTGTGTGTAGTTTGGTTTGCCCAATACTTCAGGATATGAGCCAAGGTTT